GGCATGCTGCATGGATCCAGTCCCAGCCCAAGACACACCGCAGGACTTCAATAAACACTTGTTAAACCGAAATGAACTCAGTAGACAATCCCTCTCTTCTTAGGCTAAGAAACGCATATATACGAGTATCTCTATATATAGTACTAATGGATTTGGTGTGCTTCCCCTTAGCGTCCCCTGTCCCCCCTCTCCTCCCCCTTCAGCCTGGTCTCCCCCTCTCTGCCCTCCACCCCGTCTCTGCACTGAGATACATAAGAAACAAGGGTAGTTTACTGTCTGTTTTGTTTTCTGGGTTTTCAGTGTCCTAGCGGAATGCAAGTAGGCAGCCAGCCCGTCTGTCCCCTCTCCGCCCCGCCCCGCCCCGCCCCCGTCACTGCGCTTCTGTTATACCATCTTTGCCTGACTCTCTCCGGCTTCTCCATTGAATGGCTAATGTGTATGTGAAATAAAGAAATAAAGAAAAACAAAAGCAAGAGCGCCTGGGCCTTCGCTAACGCGACCGTGCGGGTCCTGGTCGGGTTGGTGGGGTGGGGTGGGGCCCCGCGTGGGCTCTGCGCCTCTGTCCCCGCACCGGGCGCGCTGCCCACGCCGTCGAGGCGTGAAGGCGCTCGTATCCCTGAGTTTCCAGGAGGGGGCGCCGCCGGCGAGAAGAGGAAGCCTCCCAGCCCCTCCCCACCTCTCCGTGAGCCCCTAACCCGAAAAAAAAAGAGGCACCACTTAAGTCCGACGGCCGCTCTGCCATGTTGACGTTCCTGGACCTCGCCTGCGGGAGGAGGAGGTGGGCAAGGCGGCTTCCCGCGGGCGGTGGGTGCTAAGAGGGTCTGCAGGGCTCCTTCCAGACCCTCTGGTCGCCCGCCCTCCAGATCCCCGGCCATTTCCCCCGAAGGGAAGTCCTCACAGGTCCCTCTACGGGCGACTTCGCTCCAAAATAAGCGCAGTGCGCGCAGTGCGTGGTCCGCCCCTTCCTCGACGGCCCAGGGCTGATTCCCATGCCCTTCCTGGCTCAGAGGCGATGGAGGTCACCGCACCTCTGGGCTCACAGCCGCTTGTTCCGTCTTGATGGGGCGGGCCGCCCCGACGGGGCTGCCGTTGGGGCAGGCCGGGGTTGCGGGCTGCCGGCGCACCACCGCCTCCACCGGGTGGCAAGGCACCCGGCGGGCGCCGTCGTCCGGGCCTCGGTGCGCCCCCCGTTTGCGGGGCCCAGGCGGGGCCGGGCCTGCAGCCAGAGCGGCCGCCTGGTCTCGCAGCAGCCGCACCAGGAAGCCGATGTACTTCATCGCCAGGCGGAGCACCTCGTTCTTGCTCAGCTTCCGGTCGGGAGGGTGCGTGGGCAGCAGCTTCCTGAGCTCCATGAAGGCGCCGTTCACGTTCTGTTGCCGCCAGCGCTCGCGACTGTTGGTGAACACACGGCGGGCCACCTTCTGGGGCTGCTGCCCTGCACGCAGGAGGGGAGGGGTTGGCACCGAGGTGGCGCCCCCTGCTGCCCTCACTTCAGGCACCCAGCACCCTAGCGGGGACTTCCACACAGGAGGTGAGCGGGGGCTTTCTCCACGCCAGGGATGCACGTGTAGGACCCACCACCACGTGGCTCCCCGGCTAGTTAGCAACCCTGCCCGCCCCCCACCTCCACCATCTAGACAAGGATAGACTGGGCTGCACAGAACTGTGGCCTCTGAGCCGCTGGCTGCACCTTTATGTCCGTGGCTGAGATTGCCTAGCGGAATGTTTCCTTGCCGCTGCCAGTCTGGGGAGCTGGCCCTATAGTCTTCATTCTGAGTGTGTCCCTGTGTGTGACCCGAGAAGTACCCGTATTGTGATTGTGGTCCTGTCTGTGTCTTAGGTGGTTGTGTGACTTGTGGTCTGTCTGAATGGCTGTGGTGGTGTGTGATCGTTGCCATGTGGCTGTGTCATGCCTGGCTGTGGTTGTGTGGCTGATGCTTGTGTGGCCATGGTCCTAAGTGGCTGTGGTTGTCTGTGTCCTGTGTGGTTGTGGTCCCATGGCTGTCTCTTGCATGATGGTTGTCATGTGGCTGCTTCCTGGGTGGCTGTGCATCCAAGTGGAGCTGTCATTTTGTGGCCCCTGTGCCAGGCTGTGTTTGCCAGGACTCTTTGTAGTTTGTTTGGGTGACTGGTTGTGTGGGACTGGCTATAGGACTGTGGTTTTGCACAGGAGTATAACATGAGTACTGAGCCCGTGTGGGCTGTTCTGTGTGTGTCTGTGCCCTGGCAGCACCTCTCCCTGTGGAAAGGCGTGGGACTGACGTGGACCCCATGCAGACACAAACTCATACTCACCCTCAGCCAGCTCCAGCTCACAGTGGCTCGGTCTCCGCTTCAGCCGACTGCTAGGGAAGATGCTAAAAGGTCCTGCCGGCCCAATGTAGAGGCTGTAAGGGTTCATGGGTCACTAATGCCTTGTGGGCAAGGACCCTGGCCCTGGATTGCCCCCAGGCCCAGCCCCCCACTAACCTGTTGAGGAAGGGGTGAGGATGGTAATGCAGGGCCAGAGGGGTTGGGGCACTTCCCAGGGCGGAGAATTGCAGCAGTGGGGGCCGAAGGGCACTCTGCTCTGTGGTGGCCATGGCTGCCCCCTGGGGGCCTAGTGTGGCCCAAGCTGATCACCGGGACCCCAGGGGGGCAGCCTGGGGGATGAGACACCTTGGTGGCCCGCCTCCTCTGCCTTTGGGAGCCCAGGGGAGGCAGGCTTGGGGAGTGGCGCAGGCACCGGGCTGGGGGCACACACCATCTCAGCCTTCTCAGTCATGGTGGGGGCCACCTCTGCCTGGGCTTGGGGCGGGCACATGGACCCCGAGGGGGTGCTCACCTGTGGAAGGGAAGGAAGCCAGTGGGAGGAGGAATCAGATGCCACACACACCCTTAGCCCAACAGAGCCCTCAAATGGAAGGGATAGTGGAGGGGGGGGGGTGGGGGGAGGCCCAGAAACTACCAGAACATGGAGGATCTGATGCCCACTGAGATGCTGTGCAGCGATGAGCCCAGCAGTGTCGTCTCTGAGCTGTTTGTGGCCCATGAGGGCATGAGCAAATTCCCTTCCTCCAGAATCCCCTCACCTGGAGTCCGGAGGGAGGGGCAAGGCAGGGTAGCCATGATGGGCCCTGAGACCCTTAGACCTGACCCTAACACCCTTCATTGACACAGCGTGTCCTTGGAATCCCTACATGATTGACTCTGACCTTTCACTGACCTCCCGCCTCCTGCCTGGGCCCACCCTGTGGTCCTCATCTAGGACCCCAAGGCTCTTCCCATCGCCTCCGTCAGACCCTGAAAGTCTTCCATAATCTCTCGTGACCCCCCCCCACACACACACACACACACTGAAAATGTCCCCCTCACTAATCCTGCAACCCCCATTGCTGACACTATGATGCCAAATGCTGGCTCTGGCCAGTACATACAGTCATGCCTCAACCTTCCTTCTGGCCCTGGTGACCCCCCACCTGCCCCACACATCAGTATCCACCTCTTTACACCCTATTTAGATATCCCTGTCACTCTTGGCCCATGGCCTGGAGGGCCCCAGCAACATCGGGGACACCTGGGCCCTCTTCCCTGTCTTCCCCAGCTGGGTCCTGGGGACGGCTGGCCTGGCCTCTTAGTTGGTTCCTACAGATGAATGAATGAAGGAAGGCGGGAACGAATGAATGAATGCAGGTGGGTTGGGAATCCCCCCACCTTCAGGCTGCTCGCTCTTACCCCAGCGCTGGTCCTGCTGCCTGCTGAGTCCCCTGGCTCTGTCGGTCAGGGCAGGAATATGGCTCCAGCTTCAGGCCAGGCTCCCCGGCCCTGTGCCCTCCAGCCTCTCCACTCTACCCCAGGCAGCCAGCCACTCTGTCTGGGCTGCACTTCTTTCTGGGCTCTCAAGGGCCTTGGGGCCTCGGTGGTGGCAGCAGCATGGGTCCCTCGAGGAAAAGTGAGCGGCTCAGGGGCCGGCCGGCCCGCCCTCTCCCCGCCCCCCCGGTGGCCGGTTTCCTCCCTCTTACCCCTGGCGCAGTGGCTGGAGGATGCTGGGCCAGCGCAGATAAGGGCCTGGCCGCCTGGCCCAGACTGATAAGGAGCCAGGCTGACCCCGGAGGAAACCAGCGGGCGGGGATCTCCAAGATCGGCCTCTCGCCCCGCCCCGGCCAGTGGGCAGGACTGTCAGTGACCCCTCCGGGCTTCACCTTCCGTCCTCTCAGTCACTGGAAGGACCCTGGCCCTCTGAGGACCAGCCCCAGTGCACAGCTACACACAGAGGGGAAATTGAGGCAGGAAAGCGGTGGCCTCCTGTGTTGGTTGGATCTGGCCTGTGGCTTTGAACACCCCAGCTGTGTCCGTGCTTGTTGGGGGTGGGGAGCCCTTTCCGGCCCTGCTGGGGCTCGTGACTGGGGGCCCCCTTCTTCTTCTCTCCTCCCCCTGCCTGGTTCCTCTTTTTACAGAGCCCCTCCCAGCCTTTCTGCCACCCCCACCCTGGAGGGAGGCATGGCAGAGGGCAGTCCTGACACTCCGATCTTGGGTGTCCAGCCTGGGTGGTTGTCCTGGTCCCCCCTGTGCTATCACTCCACCTTTCAAGGTGACAGGAAAGGCTACAGCTGGGGGAGATTTCCTATATTGCTAGAACCTTCCAATAGGTGCCCCAGCAAGTCCCCACAATCCTAGTCCTCTAGGTCATAGGATAGCATAACCCCAGCTCGGTGGTCCCTGGACCTCATCCCAGAGCCAGGCCACTGCAGGGTGAATGGTGATAGCGGTGTTGGGTGAATGTCCTGGGTGGTGAGGGGTAGCAGTGACAAGGCTGTTCCTGGTCCCCAGCACCCGATCACCTGGGTCAGTTGTGCTGTCTATCTAGGTGGCTGCATGAGCCCCCAGGCAGGCCCTCAGCTGTCACCTTCCAGGAACCAGGTGATTTCAGGACCCCACCACCAACCATCCCACTTTCCCAAGGAAGCAAGGGTACACTTCTCAGCTCCCAGTGAACTTTGATGTGCCCACAAGGCCAGTTCTGGCATCAGGTTCATTTAACTCTTGAGATGGAGCAAGGTGCAGGGTGCCTGCGGGTCCCACAGCTACCGTGTGGCAGGGTGGGGGCTTTGCCCCAGGCCTCGCTGTTAACGTTGCTAAGGCCTGCCCTTGTGGGGAGGATGCAGGAGCCTGCCTGGTGCCTCTATGTGCACCCCCCCGCCTCGAGGGGCCACAGGGCAGGAAACACCTGGTCTGGAGCGGATGCACAAGGAGCCTGGTTCCGGTCTGGCTTCCGCCACCACGGCCCTGCGGGGAGCTGGGCCAGAGAAACCAGGCAGCCAGGGCTGGCGGCGAGAGGCCACGTGGGGGCTTGGTGGCACCGGCGTGCGCGCGCGCCTATATTCCGGAGCACGCCAGTGGAGGGGGGTGCGGGGGAAGGCCCCGTGGGTACGAGCGCACGGCTGCCACCCCGTGGCCGCTTGGGGGAAAGCAAGCGCCAGCAACCGGGCGCCTAAGTGCTTCTTGCTGTAGAGCAGTGGTTCTCAACCTTCCTAATGCCGCGACCCTTTCATACAGTTCCTCATGTTGTGGTGACCCCCAACCATAAAATTATTTTCGTTGCTACTTCATAACTGTAATTTTGCTACTGTTATGAATCGTAATGTAAATATCTGATATGCAGGATGTACTTTCATTGTTACAAATTGAACATAATGAAAGCATAGTGATTAATCACAAAAACAATATGTAATTATATATGTGTTTTCTGATGGTCTTAGGCGACCCCTGTGAAAGGGTCGTTTGACCCCCAAAGGGGTCACAACCCACAGGTTGAGAACCGCTGCTGTAGAGGAACAGACCACTCCCCACACTGACAGAAGGCCTCAGACAGAAACACTGACACCACCTCCCTCAGTCAGGCAGGGACACACCAACCTCTAGATGCAGAGCTCCCCCAGGGAGTTATTTCAGATGGACAGAGGAACAGGCCCCAGACATGCTAGACAGATAGACCACCAGCAGCTTCTGCACTCAAATGACAGGGCAAGGTGAAATCTCTTTATTGGCTCAATCTACACCTGGACCAGTGGTGGCCCCAGACCCAGGGGGCTTCTGGTTGGGGGTCTGTGGACAGTCGGTGGGGGCAGCTTCAGCAGTGGCCTCAGGTGTCAGGGGTCTGTGGGAGTAACAGCACTGGTCCCCCCGCTGGCAGGTGCCCTGGTGGAAAGATGATGGATATGAAGCCCAGCAGCCTCTGCTGGGTTCCTTTCCTGGATGGGGAGCTCACTCGCATACACTTGCCCATCCCGTTTTCCCATCCCTGCCTGCCCCTTAGCCTTGCCCTAGTGCCACAAGGGGGACCCATGTGTACTGCAGTTGGAGGTGGGGGGTGCCTCACCTTCTTAAACCTCTTGCAAGGAAACGTCTTAAGCCGTGCAGCCCGCTGGGCCAGGTCCTCAGCTGGTTCCTTTCTCTTATTCTGGAGCAATCTGCGTCTGTCCTCCATGGCTTCGCCCACTGCCTTACCCCTGTGCAGGGAGATGAGCAGCTGGGACCCCATCAGGCCTCTGCACCCCAGGCCCTGGCCAAATCCCACTGCCATCACTCTCACTCACCCTGGCCGGGCACGGGGCCGGGGGCCCCAGTTGGCCTCGGGGTTGGCCTGGAAGCGCTTGAGTCCTCGCTGGCGGGAGCTGGGGTTGGCATCATCCCGGATGGTGAAGTTGGCCTGTAGCCTGGAGAAGGGGGTGGTGCAGCTGAGGGGCAGCCACCACTCGGACATGCACAACAAAACTGCCCATGGGGCCTGCCCGCCTTGGTGACTTGGGAAGGCACCTGCCTGGGTCAGGATTCTCTCACTCATTTAATAAACATTTATTGTTGCCTACAGTGTACCTGAAATCTGCCGCTGGTAAAGCTGACATTCTAGTGTACAAGACAAACAATCAGAAATCAGCAAGTTATGTTTCGTTAGGGCATGAGAAGAGTTTTGAAAAGAACAGAGCAGGGCAGAGGTTCTGGGGAGACTGAGGAAGGGGTTCAATGCAGGACAGGACAGAGTCAGGGACACCTGAAGGAGGTGAGGGAACAGTCCTGGGGGGCACTCAGGGACAGGCATTCCAGGTAGAGGGAACAGCCTGTGCAAAGGCCCTGAGATGGGGCTGTGGCTCATGAGCTTGAGTGAGGGGGCCAGTGTGGAGTGAGCCAGGGGGGAAGGGGGGGGGAGTGAGGGCTGGAAAGTGACACGGAAATGGGGCAGGGCTTGCAGGTGGAACTCTGTTTCTGCTGAGCAGAGGAGGAACATGATCTAACTCAGGTGCTCACAGGCGCCCTCTGGTAGCTGTGGGGGGAACAGTCTGTGGGGGGCGAGGGTGGGAGCTGGGGAACCAGGGCTGAGGTGACCACACTGGTCTGTGTGAGCAGTGATGGGCCAGACTAGGATGGGGGCAGAGGAGAAGCGGTAGAAGTGGTGGGAGAAGGTAGATTCTGGATCTCACTTGAAGAATGAACATGTATCTGTTAGGGAAGTGTCTGGGCCGTCTGCAAGCATGTGAGCATCCACGCCTGTGGCAGAGATGTCCCTACCTGGGCTCCACACTGAGAATGCGGAAGGCCGGGCTGGTCTCAGACAGCCGCTCTCGTTTCACCGGGCACTGCTTCTCCTGGGAGGCAAAGGTCAGGGGCCAGGGGATGCCAAGCCTGCCCATGCCTTGCCCTCTTATCCCTTATCTAGTCAGGCCAGCTCTTACCCAGCAGCGCATGATGTCCCAGAGGGCTGAGGCGGGGGCGTCCGTCTTCACAGCATTCTTACAGGCGTGGGAGAGCGAGACCCGGAAGCCAGCATGGAGGAGGGCTGACCTGGGACCAAGAGGGGTTGTGAGGGGCAAGCTAGATCCCAAAGCCAGTGATGACGTGTGTGGGTGGGAGTCATGGCGAGTTGTGAGGCTGGCTGCATGTCTCAGGGCGACGACGTAGCTGGTATAATGCCAAGGACTGAAACAGTCAGACTGGCCCCCTGGCCAGGGCTCTTGGCCTCTGAGCACTTCTACATGAGACTCCCTGGACGTGAGTGAAGTTTGATCTCCATTTTACGGGGGATTCTGGCCCAAAAGGGGCCCAAGTTGCCCAGGGCACCCAGCACTCAGGCTCTGCTCCTCCCCTACCCAGCCCTCACCGCAGCTGCAGGAGGCTGGGTGTGCTACAGTGGATGGTGCTGCTCAGCTGGTCCAGCGTATAGTACAGAGGCACGTCCGGCAGCTCCTGCCATGGGGGACAACAGGATATGCATGGGGCAGATGGAGGAAGCTGGGCACAGGTGAGCCCCATCCTGTTTTGGCCCAGCCCCTACCTCGGTAACGACGCTCAGGACTCCTCGGATCCGCTCCGAAGTATGGAATCGGCCGGGGTTGGTGCTCACTGCCTCTAGGACACGGCCCACAAAATCCAGGTCATGGATTGGCTCCACCCATAGGGGGCCACCAAGCTGCAGACACACAGGGGCCAGATGGACAAGGAGTGAGACACAAGGACCCTTGAGACCCCATGCCTAAACCCGGCATGGTCCCACCTGGTGCCGCTGCCCACAGTGCTCACACTCAGGGGCCACAGGGGGACCGCAGGCTGCAGAGAACTTGACCCTGCACAGAGAGAGGAGTTTAGGGGGCAACCACACCCCTTGGAAACCCCTCACCTCCCTCCTGGCTCACTGTTGCTCACCGGCCACCAGGGGCCCCCGATGCTTTGCCAAGGCGCTGAAGGTGGAAGGCTCCGCAGCCCACACACTGGAACACCAGCGCCTGCTTGCTGTGGGGAAACAGGGCTGGCTACCACACCCCAACCCTTCCCTCAGGGTGACCTGGTCCCCTGTAGGACCTCACTTCCACAGAGGAAGGCTCTGTTGCCTGCTCCAGTGCCTGCCCCACCCCTGCTAACCTGGCTGAAGCCTTGACCTTGGCCTGGCCGGTGAAGACACGAACAAAAACACGTATGTAGAAATCAGCGCTGA